AACAACTTTTATATATTTGCTAATTAGCATTTATACTTAAATATTAATTTTGTGAATATTTCTTTAATTTATATATATTTTTGTATCATTATATCAACATATATCAACAAAGCAAATAGAGGAAAGCGCGAGAATGCGCAATCGTCAAAAAGTATTAGGAATAGGAAATGCTGAAGAGAACGACATAATTTCGAAATATTTTTATTGTTTTTGTTTAACGATTTGAAATATTTAAAAATAATCTGCACAAACTTATTCGCTGTTACGTGAATCACTAGCGTAGCACGAGATCTCGTAAAATAGCACTTGATGGCCATAACCGAGACGGAAAGATATTATTAATTTATCTCGCACTCACTTAACTTTGTCTACTCTGCAATTCTCAAAGGAATAGTAGTAGCAGTCGCTTAAAATTGATATTTTCTACGACGTATTTTATCTGGCGTAGAGACAGTTTTCGGTCCACCACGATTATTATGGTTTGTAATAATATGTATAGCCACGACGTCGATAAAATTCGATTTTGCGATTACGACAATTGAATTTTTCTGTAGAATAAAAACTTGCCAATATAAGAATTAATTTTCCAGATGTGTATACAACGTAAGGTTATAGTATATTACAGTATGTTAGAGAAGTCCGCGCGCGGCGTGTAATAATAATTTGTGCAAATAGATGACGCATCGAAGAATCGGCCGTTTAAAAAGCAATGTTCAAAAGTACATCTCCGAATTAATTGAGTATGAAATTGTACTTTGAAACGATATTTCTAACCAGAAATAGTCAAGATATACCAAAGTCTCCCTGCTCCTTAGCGTGTGGTGCGCTTTTTTTCCTCATCTCTGCTTTTTTGTTTCTCGCTTTTTTTACTTACTTCTTTATCCGACAGCTTTTAGCAGAAGCCTTTCTGTGTCCACCGAGTAATCGCGTGATCTAAGTGTGGTGGTAGCCGTGTGCTTTCAGCAGATATCTGACTGCGCCGTACCATCCGCTGCATCGTGAAGAAAATCTCGAACCATCTGAGATAGATAAGACGTCTCATATAGATAAAGTGTACGTATGTATAGAGTGTTATGTATAGAATATCTCAATATATAACATTAAAAATTGTACATACATACACACACATTCATATTGCATATATAAATGATTATTTTACAGCTATAAATGTTCCGTAGAGAACAATTTGATTTGTCGTCATTTCTTCTCAGAGGTTCTTAACTTTCTATACGTATTTGAGTAACTAAACTTTAAATTAAAATTCTTTTAAAGCTAAGTCTATTTTGAGCTTTAATCTACTTCAATCTTTAATCACTTGTAACAAGAATTATTGATAATTCGATATTAAAAAACCGATTATTTTCTTAAAGTTTGGCTTATTGCATTTGAAGCCAAATTAGCATTAGTGGCACTTTAAACACCTTGTACATTTACGTCTGCATATACATAAATACATATATATATATATATATATATATATATAGAGAGAGAGAGAGAGAGAGAGAGAGAGAGAGAGAGAGAAGAGAGAGAGAGAGAGAGAGAGAAAGAGAATGGGAGAAGGAGAAAGGGAGGGAGAACAGAGTTTCTCTCGCTTTTGCGGAAACTTCCAAGTTCCGATACCAACAGCAGCTTGCCGCATCAGTCCGAATTCAGAAAAGTCAACTTGTGGCTGGAATTGAGTGCTAAGTGATTTCTGCTGTTTCCGGCGCGACAATAATATCATTGCCGCTTCTTAGTGTGGCGTCTTGATCTTATATCTTTGGTATTTGTGTGAGCGTCGTGTGACAGTGTAGATCGAAGAGTCGTGGGAAGACGTCCTTTCGCACTTCTCCGTGTCACAGCTCATGGATCACCTGTCGGAGTTCTCACAGTATATTATACTGCTTGAGGAAATGCACTCTGCCATGCGAGAAAAAGATCACATCATGTATCGATAAATAGTGTCAATCTAAAAACGGTCTAATGCGCATGACTTATAAGTACAACTTTATATTTTAGGAAAAGAATAGAAAATAAATGGGATAAATAAGAGCATTGAAAGATGACATTTGAAAAGATTGCACAACTGTATGGAATGTCACATTTTCAATCAATACATTTTCAATTAATAGAGTTTTATTTCTAGATGGAAGTATCAAGATTGTATAAAAGTCATTTTTTAACGTTCAAGCACGATCCATTTTGTAATGTCGATATGACTGACTGAATATTCCTATAGGTCGTTTATGTTCTACGCGCGGACAATCGCCACATGTTAATTATACGCTGCCAATCTGGCAACACATTTACGTGAGTCTGTTGTTAATCGTATGCACGTTTTTCCCCTTTCGCGGAAAAGCCCATCTTTCCTCTCTAACTATCGCGAAGAGCCGTCTTCAGTTATAAATAGAGTGCAACTTGAGGATACTCGAGTTAGTGCCGGCATGAACGTGACTGAACAATGATGTCTCCTAGTGTTTTAGAGCGGCCCGGCGTCCCACTTGAACAGCTAAGAGGCCGTAGTCGCTTTTAACATTGTACATGCTGCTCTTGGCATGTATCGTACATACGTTAACGTACATGTGTGACGCGAGAGGAGAATTAATTCTGTCACCACTTAAAATATTCTCCAGGTTTCTCGGACGAGGTCGCTATGCCAGCATTTTTGTACACGTGCCTTTGGCACCTCCGCATTTTAATTTCTAACGCTGCACGGCAATTGTTACGCTTTAATAAACTTTATTGAGTTGCTTACTTAATTTAACACGTGGAATAACATGATAAAATCACAATTCAAATCTTGTCGCCAAATTTATGATAATCCTGTCGGAATTAGAGATAATGGAACTGCTAACGAATATCTACGTAGAAAGATAAAGAAATCGTATATATGAGTATATTAAGGGCAAGATGAATAACATTGATAGTAGACACTAGAAAATTGCAAATGTCACAGCGTGTCTTATGAGGTAGTACAAATAAATTCAAGTATCACTGCTACGTTTCACGCGATGGGTCGCTTGGGTGTCCTTCCAGTTGTAGAAACCTTTATACAACGACACGGAGACGAGAAGGCAGGTCGACGAAAAATGCAGTGAAAACGTGGGCGAAAGAGTGAGAAAGAGGAATCGCCGGATGACGAAAGAGCGAAAAAAATGAGAGAAAGTGCTTGCTATGGTTAAATAGAGAGAAAGATGGAGCATGAGGAGAAAGGGGAAGAAGCAAAAAGAACAGGTCGTTTTTGTTAATTTGCTGAAGACGACCCTTCTAACTTGTGACTCGCGCGGGGCGATTAATTCGCTACGCGCGAAATGCGATATGTCCTTTCGTCGACGCGCAACTTGCTCCACTCTTCGCGTCTCACTTTTTTAAACGGTTTCGACTGATTAATTGCGTCACTATCCTTATAAATTGCTTTGTTTGCATTAGTCTTGCCGTGCCGAACGAATGCTCGCTAATGGATGGCTTCGGCTGGAATAATCATTGCAAAGCACTTGCGCGCCGACAGAGACGAATCGGGAGGATAGCGGTGGTGATATTATCTTGGATAAATGATTGTATTCGCATTAACGAGTACCGTAATGATTCACATTTTCCTTGCCATTAACGTGATTTTGCGCTTCACTGTACATTGTTCGTAAAAAGAAAAAAAAAAACATTTTACACAAAGATATTATATCAAAATTCGTTTCATTACAATCGAATATACAGGGCCAATTCCAGACCAATCGCGTATCACCCGTTAATAGCGAGTGATCTTTCTCTCTTTTTTTTCGTAACAAAACTTTGTTCTTCTCATCTTTTTGCTTTGATTTAAAATTTATAATGCACTAAATATGCACAATTTTTGTAAGATTTTCGCGTTATTTTAACTTTGAGAAGATTGCGGAATGTTTCGCTTTATGAGCGCCGAGAGCATCGCGGCATTTGCACCACAGTCGAATTTCAACTTGCCCACACAGTCGGCTCTACACACCGAATCGCTTTATTTTCTACAACAATGGTCGCACAATAAACCGGTATATTACACACCTCGGTACACGTACCACTGCGGAATAAAAAAAAAAAGAGAGAATCGCTCCCTCCCTCTCTCCGTATTACGCCGAGTTACGGGATACAATGGGGTCTCCAAAGCATAAAACTGGTTGAGGATGTTCGGGCTTTTGTACCGGCGGTATAACTCAAGTGTCATGCCATTATTTAACCATAGATACGACGGGTCTTTGCATTCTCCCGTGTATCCGCCCGCCCGAGAAAACCCACTGCGACCGACTAACGTAAAAGTTAATTGAAAAACAGGAAATTAAATTTTCGCTATTCCCAGTCGTGCGAGCCGCGCGGCTCCTCGAATAATAGGAGCCACGTCGGCTGGCCTTTGCCGGGACTCCTCTATAAATTATCGACTTGCTTAATCATTCGCCGTCTGATTCGTCGAATGCAGTTTGGATAAATTTTTGTCGCGTCGAAATCCCACGGGAGAAAGGGGGCACCGATTGAGATGACTCTCGCTAACGATTATTAATCGCTCATTTTTGACCACGCTTATTCGTTAGCACGAGAACGACGTTTACCACGTAAATTATTATATGTTCCTCTGCGGAATTCTCTTCGCTCCGAAATATCAAACTTTAATTTAATTTTTTGACTTTGATACCTTAAACGACTAGTAGTGCAAAAACGAGGACTCTCGAGATCGACGAGCAGACAGGCGACTTCATTTTGAAAATAAGAAAACTTTTCTCTCACGTCTTTCTCCCTGGAACCGGTGTCAGATGGTGAATTTCATTATCGATAAGGCTCGATATCTACGCTAAAATCGCTCAGGGCCGAGACACGTTGCACGTCTAGGACAGTTTGCGGTGTCGATTAGATATGACTTGTCGGGCACGCTGTCGAATATTATCGAAACTTTACTTATACTTGAAACGTTACTTCGTTCTTCCGCATGTCGCCGTTACTTTTCCCTAACTTTTCAGCTTACGGCATATGACGTTTACATACGACAATTCTTTTCTTTGCAGGTTGTTCTTGTGTTGTGTACAGCAGCGAGGACAGGCCTCAAGGTGGTACTTTTACATCTCCCGATTTTCCCAAACGATATCCACCGAACATCGATTGCCTTCTTTACACATTTATTGGTCATCCAGATGAGATCATTGTTTTAACGTTTCATCAGTTCAACATTCGTCGTATCTGGCCTAAGTAAGTGACATACTCTATATTTGGGGAGCAAACATTTGAAATCTCTAATAGCATTTCTTTTATATTTTACATGTTTACGCAAAGGCAAATTATATTACGACGGCATAAAATACGCAATATTAATGTCTGTTGAACGTATGACATAAATTATATGGGGAAAACCATTAAATTTAAATATTTAATTGATGCATCCACTCTCAACTGCTTTTTAAAGGAAATAATATGGACAGTTTTTAAACGTTTGCTCCTGCTGAATTATTGTACATTGCCACAGCAATGCAATATTAACGCAATTATAACGCGATTTATAGATATTTCGTACATGTAGAATTTTGCGTTATACACAATTTCGCGTAGAATATAATGCGCCGCTTTTATTGATTATAATTAGACATGCAGTTTCATCATGCACGACACTAGCAGGCAGCATTATGTTAGCAAATAAATTATCCATGCGCAGTGACTCGGCGTGCACCTAATTCGGGCCTTCCGTTGTCCAGTGGAGTCTATTCGCGGTTGTCTGCCGCCAATGGAATGCAGTCTGTGTTACGTATGTTAAATTATACCGTGATACGGTCGCGTGGATAGATCCGTATATATACATTAAGGACACATAGAGAAAGCGTGCCAGAGTTTCGCGCATGGCCGGTCTATAGTTGGTGGACTGAATGTTGATTTTCATATGCCAACAGTTCCACTGCTTGAGAAAATCTCTAGCAAACATTGTTCTTAATGACAATATGTAATTTTAATTACATTTATGTGTGTGTATATATATATATATATTGCGAAGGAATTCTGATCAAAATATATTTGAATGCAGTTTCCTTACTAAAAGCTTAGCACTCGAGATCTTTGAAACATAGTAATACGATTTTATGGCGTTTACACCATGTGAATCTTATAACTGGCGGACAGCAAATTTTTTTTTAACAACTGGTCGTGTCATTAATTTGGCAGTGATTAAATTCTTAATCGCCGATTTCTTTTTCAAAAAAGTCGTCTCTCTGCGTATCTTTAAATCGACAAATCATTTTTTATCAAAACGAGCGAGATTCGTCAATTATTGCATAATTCATAAAAAAATAGCATTGCTGAATTATTGAAAGTTTACGATAGAGTTAAAGTCGACTTGTTCAATTTTTTATATTGCAATGACTTTGCGAAAACACTCGGAAATTTGTGGCGTAATGACCATTTCGTGAAATTGAATTCGAGATGCGATTCGTCCCAAGGTGAGAGCAGAGGGGGTGGAGTAGCAGTGACTTATGGCACGAGTCCCGGTAGTACTTGAGCAAGGCAGATGGTAGTAGCCAATTTGTAGCGCGTTACGTACTTCTGTTACCTGAGGGAAAGCGCGACGGTGGTGCACATGTGTAAATCGTGCATTGCCAGAGTGGCCTGGCTAAACTTGCAAGCATGTTTCATTGCCTGTAAGAGGAAGTTAACGCAAATAGAATTTAATGAGGATTCTTTCTCACTTCATGATGGCAAGTTCCAACTCTAACCACATGCGTTTCGGAAACTATGTTTGATGTCGTGTAATAATGATTATGAGCAGGAGTCGTAATAGCAATATGAGGGAAAATATAGAAAATTAGATGGCAGGTTGACGTCCTCCGAAACGGCTAAATGTGCTTTAAATTTAGCTTTACTTTAATAATCTATGTACATTCGTCGGGGATTTCTCGCGTTTCTGCGTTCTCGTGGAATTTACGTTGCGCCTGAATGCAGTGTTTTAGGATCTAAAACGAGCGTAAGTCCGTTGCAGCAAGACGTTTACTTCACCTGTACCACAATTTATTGTAGGTAGAAATTTAACGTAGAGAATCCTTGGTAAAAGAGAAGCTCGGACGTAAAATATATTTTAAGTACACATATCAAACATTATAGTGTACTGCATATTTAACAGTTAGCGAAAAGCATATACATATATGTATTTTTCTAGCATTGAGATTTTGCGAGATTACGTTGTCTCTTTAACGATGTATACATATGTGTGTATATTTTTTTAATAATGAATATTTATGCGACAGATATTTAATATTTTATGATATATTTTCAAAGCTGCAATATTGGCAATGCGTAATTCTATGCGCACATTTTTTTGTACAAGAGTACACTCACTTTGATTAAAAAATGTTTCGCAAAGCCACACGGTAAGGCGTTCTTCCGTAAGCTCGAAGCTCGTTCGCTTATATTCGCCGCGCGTCAAGTCCCACGACAGTGCGGATAGGCAAAGATACCCTCTCTTCCACTTCCGTTGCATGCACACCGGGGCTCTGGCGTGCCTGATTGCACGACGGTCGTGCGGCGTGTTCCCTTGACACCCGCCCGCAGTAACCTGCCAGCTCGATTGCAGCCGTAACGCGGGATGCACCGGGACAACGGCGTTTCCCAGGCCGCGGTCGCGACACCGTTGCGCCACGATGTACATTCCGCTGCGCCAACCCCTTTCGCGTTACCCCTTTCGCTTATATTGGTACTCGTGTGGTGCTCGTCGTGTGCGCATCGTCCTTCACAAATGCAAATAATAAACAAGTGACGAATTAGTTATCTTAAAATTGCTCCACGAATGCCAATGGTCTTTCCGAGAAGAAGAGGAATTTATTTATTATTTCCAATGCTCGAAGATTTCATCACCGGTCGAGCATTTCGCTTTCAGTTTAGATCTCGCGAGATCAAATAGTTTGGACTCGACTTGGAAAATGTTGGACTCTTTTGTTCGAACCGTAGTTTAAGATAACGGCGTGTTCGCGCGTAGTGGGGGTCAGTGAAGTCATGTGAGAACAGGAAGAGTAGGGAGAGAGAAAGAGAGATGGTAGACGGGTTGCGAGTTCAGGAAGGAAGTTACGACGACGAGAAGGGGAGATGTTCCTCTGAATACATCGGGGTCGCGTCTCTATGGTCGGAACAGATTTTATTTTCTCCGCCAAACTCAGTTTCTCTCCCTACGAGCAGAATATGAATCTACTCTTTTGTGAGCCTGCGGTTGCACTTTCCTTCTAAATCCGTTACCCATTTTTGCGGCAAATGTAATATCACCGATGTGTCGATTCGGACCGGGATGCACCGTAGCGACACAAAGAAACTTTTAACGACAAACCACGTGATCGGTATGATCGATCTGTGGGATGTTGAAAAAAGAATTCAAGAACCCCCCGCGATCGCTCAAGCTGTCAACCGATTCGCGACTGCGATCGCTTGTGCTTCGTCGCGATGATCGTTGCAAGCGCCCGCGGCGTTTATGTATGCAAATGCTCACAGCGGAATTTGTGCTGTCGCGCATTATGCATCGAACTGCGACGGGGTCACGTCGACTGGCGGAACTTCCGACAGACAAGACGGACCGTTGGAAATGCATGGCAAACAATCCGGTAATGCGCAACGCTTCGCGAAACGTAGCCCGTTTACTAACGCGCTGTCCGTACAAGTCGCTCGAGTGATCATTTCGGCAGTTACATCATTGTCAGTTACAGTCCGTCGGAAATTTCCGCGGTTGGTTTTCGAACGCTCGCCTACGGCTACTGTCGAAGTATCCCCGAGGAATGTTATCTCCAGAGAATCGGCTGTTGTTCGTTAATTCAGACGCACACGTAGACAAAGTTCCAATTGCCTAATTGCACGCGATTTGTTCCGTTAACTTGAAATTTGTGCATCGTTTCCGGATAAAGTTTTCCCACCAGCTGCTATTTATTTTATTCACAGCTATCGTAAATCCCATTTCTTATTGAAAATCTTATTTTTGCTTAGCATTTTTATTTAATTGAAAAATTTTTCAGAGGTTCAGAGAGAGAGAGAGAGAGAGAGAGAAAGCGCGCACGGGAGTACTGCCAAAGTCGGTCGCGCTGATTATTTCTGTTAAATCCCGTTGAAACTTGTTGGCAAACGTAATGAAGAAAAATCTTGCTCCCCTTTCCATGGTCGAGCGACCGAGTCTGTCCACGGTGTGGATTAATATTTTTGCGAAAGTGGAAGTTAGTTGAGTCTTTTGCACGCGGCGCGCGCGAACCTGATCGTTTATGCCGAGCACGCGCGCGTCGCGTCCTTCGGGTACGCTTCTTGAACGAGATTCTATTTACAAATCCTCCACCGTCGGCGGTCATAAATCGTTTCGACTTCTAAGGGCTGTCCAGAACTGTGCGCCACGTTCGATATTGAGCCGCCTATGGAGATGACCTTATTAATATGGCACACCAAGTGCAAGACGATCGTTTACAGTGTGCCGCCTCTGGTGCATGTCCTAAAGCTTAGAAAATCCCTCGGAGAAGAGAGGAAACTTTGGCTTTATATCCAGGGGCGCCGATAGTAAGCCGCTTCTCTTACGAGTTATATACGAGCAAGAGATACTTAGCTGCAATACTTGAAGTTTGCAGGCAAACTAAGGATCTTCCGGATGGATGCTCGCGAGTTGTAACTATTAAATGAGCGGGCCCGATATCGGCATTTGTTTTCTCAGCAAAATTTCAATACCTCACTGTCGACAGCGAGAAATCAATTTCAATTTCAATCAAGATACATACTTGCTCCAAGACGATACCACCATGTAGAATCGTAGGAGGGGCAAATGTCATGGACGCGTTTCTTGACGCTAACAGCTTTGGAATTACGCGCAACTTTGTTCGCTTAGCGCAATTTCACGCAACGCGGTAGTCAGCGGGCTATTTTGGCGCCGGTATGCGGCAATGCGGACGCGCAGAGACGAGCAGGCAGGGGTGGCGCTCAGCGCCGTTGTTCCGTGTACACGGAAACGCGCGACCACTCCGGAAGGAGAGGAAACCTCGAGTTTGCGGCGAGCCGGCAGCGGACGATGGTGCGGAACATTGTAACATCGGCTTTCGTAACGGCCCGCGCCGAATACCTAGCGGCCGAGCCGGTGTAGGAATTATACTTGTCGGCCGCGTAACTGCTGAGATTAATTATGTGCGAGATGAAATTCCTGGACCACGAGGTGTGACAATTGGAGAACGGCTCGTTGCCTACCCAACCTCGAGAATCAA